TTTTATAAACCCTCAAATTTGTCACAAACTAGTATCCATTAATCCCCCTTTGCAATACATATAAATATAATAAACATGTAAAATATTTCAATATATTACTTCCTCTGTATCATTAATTTTTTTAAGTAGATGCATATAGATTAAAAATAATTTATTTTTCTATCTTTTTATAAATAAAACATGTTTTATCTATCAACTGCAAAATTTAAACAGTAAAAAACAACAAAAACACAATTAAATTTACATAGAAAATTGAAAACATCATTAAACAAAAAAATATTTCTCTAAAACACGAGTATGTATTAATATAGAGATTATTGAATATATACCTGCATCAAAACCCTTGTTACGTAGAAACGCCATCAATTGACGTTTATGAGAAGAATTATCTCCAACAAACTTTTCAGCAACCTCCGTCGCAGCCATAATTCTCATCCGCTCTTCGCCGCCGTATAAACCTTCTAGAAGCTTCCGTAACCTCTCCTTCACATCTTCCGAATCATTGTCGGAACAAGAATCAATTTCTTCCTCAAGATCATTATTTTTCACCGGTAATATTATTTGTTCATCTCTCTCGATGAACGAAGCCACCAAATCCGAAAGGTCCGCCGTGTCCTCCGGCGAGTGATCGCTTCCACTACTATCATCACACGGCCGACGTGCACGCGCCGCCGCTTCGTTGAAAGCCGACTCAATTCTCTTGAATCTTCTTTGAATCTCCACCATCTCTTTTGATCTTTTTGTCGTTTTCTCTGATAATATATTTGTGAGGATATTCTATGATTCTGAGAATTTAGAAACGTATATTTATATGCATATATGGATATTTTTTATAAAAAAAATCAGAGAAACTTAAACGGAGTAAACGACAAAATGATAAAAATGACGACAGAGTGGTGAAATTATGTTGATAAGTACAATTGAAAATATATAGTTTAAAAAAAAAAAAAGTTCTGAGAAAATAATGCCGTTAATGTAAAATTGTAAAAAAATTTTGATTTTTCTATTTAAGAGATGATTTGTGAATGTGGATGGTTAATTTGTAGTTAGTTAGCACTTTTATCACACGATAACGTCTACAATCACTTTAAATATCAAACTTAAAATCCTTTAATGATTTTAATTCTTTACTCTGAATTAAACTCGCGCATAAAAACGAATTAGTGCAGATTTGTTTCTAATTTATAAAAAATACACGAGGACATTTTTCATAAACACCAGATGTTTTATTTTTGTAGCGAGGATTTTTTTTAAAAACATTATTTTATATAATATCATTTTAATTTAGCACATCTTATAAAATACATACGTTATTTATATAAAGGAAACTATTATTGTATATTTCTGTTTTGCAAATTTGGTCTAAAATTAAGTTATCCCAAACGAATAAACCATTAAAGTTTATTAAGATACGACAAAAAGTTTGAGTTAGAATGCTATTTTGTTTTGTTATGTGTTTTTAATTAACTAACGTCCACGTCATATTAACTATCCTGTAGGCATAAGCTCATGACGTGGGCTAAGACTGGCGAGTTTAGTCTAAGGTGCCGGCTCGTGAATGCACGTGCCACACAACAAGTGAGTCAAGGCTATCATGTGATTGTCACGTGACAGGATGTGGTTATCCTGCTTTCCTTTTGTTATTATCTTCCGGCGCGGAGATTAGAAGCAGACGACTTAAACCCAAATAACGTCCATGTTCAATGTATTTGGAGAAAATTTCCAGTTGGACAAATATTAATAGCATCACTTTTTTTTTTAACACATGAAATACATGATGATAATTTTTTATTTTTGCCAAACAGATACGACTAGCGATTGTTTCTAGCGTGAAGAATTTAAATTCGCGTTGTTAAGTAAGTACTATTTTGGAGCACGAATCATTATAATTGGTCAGAAAATTTTGTAACAAATAATAGTTTATCGTAATCGCATTTCACGTTAATCGCCGTGACCAGTGGCAGAGCCAGAATCATTTTTGACCGGGGTCATATTGAGTCGAAGTTTGGACAAGGGGGTCAAATTGGTGGTTTTAGACCAAATCATCCACCAAAAGTTTTTACCAATCTACTAAAACAAGTATTTTATAAAAGTAGTAGGGGTCAACTGACCCCCCTCCTCGCTACATGGCTCCGCCACTGGCCGTGACGTACCCACATCAACGGAACTTCAGTTTAGTGGACGTATCTCCAAATTAACAATATGGGCC